AATCGGCCCACACCAGGGCTGAACCGAATAGTCAATTCGTGTTTGTTAAATGTGAATTATTAACACAGCCTAGTCGGTTTGTAGCCAGTTAGCCCGTAGCCTGCATTGCAGGCCTGATTTGGTGCGAGGAATTCGATTGGAGTTAACAAATAGTCAACTGTATATCCATTCGTTGCTCTCGGGTCAAAATGAATCGACTGACTACCCTGATGACTACACCTGAATAAACATGAATTGTCTCTGCAATATTGAAACTGAGATGTCGACTGGGACCTTTCGCCTTGCACTATGGCCTGATTCTCACCTGTTTGCCCATCTATACGCTTTCCTAATTAGTTTTGTCATCATCGCGTGATGTTTATCGATTTTGACGAGCCGATTGAATGAGTTGGTTGGATCGAATGCACCAAGGACAAAACTTTCTTCTTCCTCTTTTCCCTTGCCAGTACTTTTTCGTTTTGAATTTTTGATCTCCTGACCTCTCGTTGCCCAGTGGTTCCAAATTTGTGACCTCAAGCCAGCGCGTCGTAGAGCATGTGTTCGTGTAGGCGAGTATACAGTTGTTTGCCTATCTTTCCTACGCTGACCACACTCTGGGCTGTTGAATAGGAACGATTTCAACGGTTTGTGGGCTCCTTCGATTCCCAACTGCCGAAGCATGCTTTCGGTGACTTCTGACCTGCTCCTCATGTAGGGTAGTGCTATCTTAACCTCCTGTGTTAAATGTTTCTTACTCCTAGCGCACGCATTGGGAAATGTTAGGTGTTGGGTGCAAATGGTTGCAAGACTCGCCTTTTTTCTAGGGCTTTCATCTCCAGCCTTCCGCAATTTTCGCGATTTTCGATTCTGTTTGTGGTTCAGCTAGCCTATATTTTTTTCTGAAAGTTGATGAACAATCAGGCTGCGTCGTAGGATACCATCAACTCACCTGGTTGCCCTTGGAATGCTGCTGGACCTTATGTGTCGCTGTGATTTTCAGTAAGGGCTGGGCATCTTATCCGAAAAAGGTATTACGTTTGGACCCTGTGATAGGCTCCATAATGAGTCGGAATGAAATAAGAGACTTGTACATTTTTATTCGTTCATAGAAGCGCGGTATCGGACCTTCCACAGGTTTCTCGTTCTTCATCGGCGAGGATCTTTGTCAATTGCTTTATGGGGTGTGATTTAACTAGCTCATATGCCTCTTTGTCTTTGGCTAATAGTTAAATTTTATTTATTCCTGTTTGTCTAACAGTGCGATCACATTGTCTCTATCTACTGGAAGGATGCCAACATGACATTCCATTCTTAACGACTTCAGAGCATTCATTTTTACATCAGGGTTTGGTGGGGTTATCCGAGCTATGAGAATGCTTCGACTCCAATCTCTTCCCATTTTTGCTTCTGGTGACAAACTTACTCCGCTTTCCATAGGTGCAATGAATTCAGTCTGCTTGGCATTGAATCGTTTGAATTTCAGGTCATTCATCAGAACCACTGATTCTTTTGGTGTAAGTTAATGTTGGGTAAATTCTAGATGGGCTCGGAGCATCCTGACTGTGTAGCGTTTGAGTCTTTTGCTCAGTTTTATTCCTGTGTTTGCTGTATCTTCGACAATTTTGCTTCTTCGTTCAGCCGTATGCATTCAAATAGTTTTCAATGAGTAGTGTATGCATGATTCGACAAGATTTCCTTGAAAGCACACGACTGGTTTCGGGGTTCTTGACACTCATCAGCATGTCTATTTATGTGCGTGTGAGAGAAAAAGCATTTTATGCCGCCTAACCAGTATTTTTTCCGTATCACCAACCTCTATCCGTTAAAAAAGTCCGTTTTTAAATGTTCCCCGAAGCGTTTCACCGGCAAGCGACAGCCCTCAAGGGTGTTTTACGTTTTCCATCTGTTGAACCCGATCCAGATTTGTAGATGAACAGCTTGCATACAATGAGAGGATTTCGTCTTGAAACTATATAGTCAGGAATAAGTTATAGTCGATTACTTATCCTACCCAGACAGTTGTGTACCTAATGATAGTAGCGCAGTGAAAGAACTCACCGCATTTCCAAGACTTGAGAAGCATATGCAGGGTTTAAAGCGCTTTGGCCGTCGGCGTGACGTTTCACTTAAGCTAAATGATCCTTCATACTTTGCTACCTTAGCTTTGCGGTTTTAAAACCTTCGATTTGCGATTAGAAGACACTCAGCCACTGGAGGTTTCCGACAATCGATGCTTTCTTCCTCGTTTTTATCATTTCTTTATCGAGCCAAAATGCTTGAACATGTGTGTATGTACAATTTGCGTACTTTTTGTTGACTATGAAGGACCATCCCAATTTTCACTCGAATCAGATTCACTCCCCCCGCCCACCTTACGTATTCGTACTTTGTGTGTATCAGTGAAGTTCGCTTGCTGTACTTCGCTGAACGGTGATAATGATGATGAGTGATTTTAGTCGTTTGTGTGGTTCGACTCAGTAGTCAGCCGCTTCCCGTAGTCTGAAAATTCAATTGCAAACATTTCATAACTATCAAAGATGATATTTTCAATACGGTGCTTTGGTGATAATGCGTTTGAAGGTGATGCACAGTTTCCTTGCAAAGAGACAAGCAGACAGTCTACGAAATCATCCGAGACGACGTTAAAGACAACCCAAAATGAACAGTTCAACAGCTTATTCTCAATCTACTATCTAGAGCTGTCCATACGGATTTTATAAAGGTAGTGCAACCTCAGAGTTATTGACCAATGTATGTATCGAATGTATCGCTTTCAAAAGTACAAGGAAGAGGAAACGTGTCAGTTTACCATGTCCGTTTGGAGAGGAACCGACAGTACGAAAGGATCGTCGTACTGCTTTGCAGTTGGATAGAAACTATATACAATCGATCATTGGCGTGAATTGTTTTTGAATTTTACCCATGCACGTTTTTGCACCCGATTGACCCTCTCTGTGCACAGTTTTTTTATGTGGGTCACTGGGTGACATGAATTCGTGTTCAGGTTTCGCCATGGCTGCTGTCACCCACCTTCAGCCAATTGCGGTTGGTTTGGGTATATCAAGTGAAGTTCATTGATTCCTTCTTAGTTTTGTGCATTTCGTTGTTCGACTGTGGTTTCGTCCAGTGTGACCGCGTTCGTTTCATGCTGATTTGTCATCGCATGCCTCACGGAAGTGTACACACGATGCGTATTTGGCTATTGACCGATGGTTTGCTAAAAGTGCACAATGGCAGTGTATCGGTTAAACCAGTCGTCTCGAATTCGGTCTTTGGCGCCCACCGCACACGACTGTTCTGTCAACAATTGGTTGTCGATGTTAAAAAACATGGATGCACACAAAATGATTCTTTTTGACGTAAACATCTTTTTTGTTTCAATGTGTTCACGCAGGCGGTGAAACAACGATGTCAAACGGTGGGTTCTTACCTGAAAACATTGCATGAGACGCTTTCAAGCCTGCATGTAGTTTCCGTGTGTCGTTGCCGCCCTTTTACCCAAAGTGTTCAGATTGTGAACATCTGTAGCGCAGCACACCCATCTCCTAGATTCGTTTTAACGAACTTAACTCGGAGTATTGCATTGAGCTCCCTAAGGTGTTGTGATTGCTCTTGGAGGCACTTCGTCGACGCTATTGGTTATTGTTCAGTACCTATTAGTATTTCCAAATTCAACCGTTGTTCTCGAACCACTAATATTAACGTCTCGGTCACGAGTTTTGCACAGAGTTCCATGGGAAATAGAACGTATAACTTAGAGCAGTGATCAGGAGAAATTTATATTCAGTAATGCTAACAAAATCAATTTGAAGGGATGTCCTGTCATGTTACTGATATGACTTATAGAAAAAGGAACAAATGAGAAATTTTCTTTAGCTATATTTAAATAATAAATAATAATAATAATAATAAATAAAATAATAATAATATTTAAATAAAGACAGAAAGTTTTTTCGGGTTGCCTGACAATCACGTTCTTCTGTTCTACAGTTTCCGAGTCAAGGAGTTTATTTTTTCGACAACACAATGCGCCCATTCCCATTGAATGCCTCACGTGGGCTTGTTTACTGTTTATCAACATTCGACCACTGGACTTGCGATCTCAAACACCTGATTTGAGTTTAATAAAATTCTTTACGGAATCGGAGCGGACGGAGTATGTGACAAGGACAGATCTTTCCACATATAGAACGGAGTAAAAAGAACCACTGTTAAAGAATGGATGAAATTCGAAGTAGGACTTTTAGAGTCTTTGATCGAAAGCATATCAAGACGTTCTTCGTTACCCTTTAGAATTAAGGGACATTGTATTTCACGACGTGCGGTTTATTTTTACTGCATATTTGGACTGGCCTTAAAAGAATTTCACATTCCCTGCAATTTATTTTGTTGATCTAGTGATTAAGTATGCCGCGTGATAAGTGGCTAAACGGCGGTGGACATGTGTGACAAAAAGCGTTTTGCGCACTATATATTTGCACATCATTGATGAACCCTACATAATGGCGATCAAATTCACAATTCCCTGGCTTCAGTTTCTCTACGGTAGCACAAATTTGAAATTATAGTTGCACAAATGCTCGTCTAAATCATTTTTTCAAACTGTTTATGGTGCTTTTGTATTTCTTGATTGATCTTGAGCTGTACGAGCACTGTCGGGTGGTGGTGATCAAACAGTTTCGATCGTAAAATAGTCTCAGACAATGTGGAATACGGTGTTCACGAAGAAATTTTTTTCGATATATCACATCAGGCGTTTGCACATATAATATGTGGTCATAGTACAGGCATCTGATTGACCGATTAAAGCTCAGTTATTAACAAACAGCTTAAGTCTGAATCGTTGGGATTCTTTTAGACCGTGGGGTTCGAACCATTCCACTATCAATCAAATTCATTGCAGCAGCTTCGTTTTTGTCTGCCTCAGTTACAAGCTCATTCTAGTGTTTGATAAAAATGTGAAAACCCTTCCTCATCGAAAACTCGTCTTGAAACAAAATTTATTAGTTAGTTATAAACTTTATTATAACGAACATCATATAACTAACGTTCAGGTCTCGCAGAAAACCACCCGAATCATCACAAACAGAGTTGCAGTTGAACGCTTTCTGAGTGTCAAGGGCGCTGTTGTAGTACTAACGTTATTAGAGCAACCGTAGGAAGAATGCTACCTCCAATGAATGATTGCGATAGCTGTAGTACAAAGTGGCGTATTTTCCTATGATTCATCACCATTTTAACAACCTGAACCGTCATCCTTATTTTGTTCTACACTTCCTCCAAACAGTAATTTTCCAACGGTAATAAGATTTGATCTCCTTTTTAGCGCGCGCAAATTTGCACGTTCCTTCTCTTCTGATAATCTGCCGCGCGACTGTTGACCGCGTTCTTTTATTTTCTTGATTCGGGAATAGGTCATGGCCAGTCTATTCTTCGAGGCAAGCACACGCACCTGCAATTCGTTCACAGTGGCCATGCAGCGTCTGGGTGGCAGTGTGGTTCATTTTACCGAATCATTGAGTTCACTGAGCAAAGGGGAGACATTGGCTGATACATTCCGAATCCTCGCCTCTTATTCCGATTGTTTAGTCGTTCGACATCCCGGAAAGGGCGCTATTCAAAATGCGGCATCATTTGTGAACAAACCGATTATCAATGCAGGTGAGGCCATTTTGATACGTGACCGTCTATGGCGGCAAATAAGACCCCATCAATAATGGTCAAACGGCATCATGATCTATATATGGTCGCAAGGTCTACTTTATTTTTTAATGAACTGATATTCGTCCAGGGGTTTGATTTTTTATAGTTAGCGCTTATTATATGCTGTGAACAGCACCCACCTATTCCCCCTCATATTTATGTAGCACAGCATGGTTATCCGCCATCCATTCTGTCCTCGAAGTATTCACTATAGTCTGCAATCACCTTAATTTTCACCGTTATATTGCGTGATGTGCTATAAGTTGTTAACCGTTCGTCCTCATTCTTGCATACCTCCTTCCTGCACTACACATGAAGGTGACGGTGTGGGCGAGCACCCAACTCAGGCCCTTCTGGATGCTTTCACTATACGTGAAGAGATTGGCACGGTGAACGGTTTGACCGTTACCATGGTGGGTGACCTGGCTCATGGTCGTACTGTGCACAGTTTGGCTCGTCTACTCTGTCTGTACAATGTACGCTTACGTTATGTGACTCATTGTGATGAACTGCGTATGCCCGACGATGTTAAAGCATATGTCGCTGCACGGGGCATACATCAAGAAGAAATGTCCAGGTAAGTTGCTGATAAATAAGCATTGCCTTTTTCCGGTGCTTGTCCCTGTGATTCCGCGTGTCTTTCCGTTTCTAAGCCTATTAGACACGGTGGATCAAGGCTGAACCACTCCTTATGACAATAGTTCAAAAGGCGAGAATCAGAATTCAATTCTTGGTAGATTGCTACTTGCAGCACTTGCCCTACACGGCGGAAAATACTATCCAACTGTATGGAACCCCGCAACGTTGGCGTTGTTGTTATTTGGTTGAATGCATTAGATAGAGTTATCTCTTGGTCTTTACAGAGTTTTCGTGTTCCGCTTTTTCTCTTAGTTTCAGTACATCTTGAATCCTTCCGAAATTTCCTGACACCTTTCCCCGATCCATGAGTTTTGTTTTCAAGCCCATTTTTACGCCATTTTAATCATGTATTTTCCTTGCTCCTTTCAGATAATTTTCACTTGTTCAGCTTTGTCTTGTTTTCCTTCCTAAGCTATCCAAATTCATGAACTGCTTGCGTTGTGTTTGCAAATCGCCTTCGGCGTGAACTTTGCATATTAAGAAGCATCGCTGACCAAATTTCTTCCAGTAACAAGCTTTTCGTCTGTGTTTGGGTGATGAACTCAGAATATTTCAAGCACGTCAACTGAGATAAAGTCGATTTGCTTGCCAGTCACAGTTGCAATCCGTCTATGAGCACAACATAGGGTGAGTGCCAGGATAATACATAGGTACATCAAATTTCAAAGACCTACTCGTTCGCGAGATATCCTCGGTAATTGGGGGTGCTCAGAAAGCATTTCATGCACTATACGAAACATAATGGTAAAATAAAGCTTCTTAGAGAACTACAATTTCTATTCTCTGAAGTTTGAAACATTGAGCAAGTTCCCTTCCATTGCGGGGAATCGATTGTTGTACCCATCTTTGAAAGGAACCCAAGCAGTGACTGCACTAGTCAAAGGGGTATAAACCTGATCCCAATAGCCAAACTTGTTGGCGTCCGTCATTCTCTGCGGATTGTACAATATGCGTGAGGATCATACCCGTGAGGCACAGGATGGGTTTCGCGGCGTTCGTGGACGCATCGATCAAGTCTTCACCCTCCGATAGCTGTTAGAGCACCGTCATACCTACCAAAGACCAACGGTCATTGTATTCTTAGACATCCACACTGCCTTCGACTGTGTCTATAGGACCGCACTATGGAACCGTTTGTTGACGGATGAAGTACCACAGAAGTGTGTCGATCATCAAAGAGTTGTATCGTCATAACTCAGGTCGGATTAGGGCCTATGGCCAGCTTTCACTGTCTTCAGTGGTGTTTGACAAGGCTACCCTATATCCCTGTTCCTTTTCAGCTTTGTCATAGATGCTGTCCAGAATGCTTTGTCCGGTCTAGACAACGGTGGAGTCGAACTCCTCCCAGGGAACAGATTTCTTGGCTTAGTATATACCGATGGCATCGTCTTGCTGGGTGACAACACACAGGTAGTCCAACATGCTTTGAACCGCTTGGCGATAGAGGTATCCAGGTATAGTATGTGATTTGCGCCGTCCAAATGTACAGTGCTTTTACAACTCTAGCGGGAGCCTAAGCCTGCACTCAGCCTCTGTGGTAATCAGATAAAAGTAGCTGAGAGCTTTAAGTACTTCGGGAGCTTGATCACTTCACGAATAGCGAAAGCCAGAGCAGCTTTCGCCAACCTGCGACAGCATTGGCATCGCCATGACATCCGTTTGTCCATTAAGAAAAGGGTGTAAATCGCCGAGGTTCTCCTTTACGGTTGCGAAACCTGACCCCTGCGCATTGAGGATGCTAATCGACTCTCTGTATTCGCCCACCGATGTCTCCGAAGCATTATTCGTAGGAACATCGGGTGAGCAATGACGAGGTTCGTCGTCGTGCATTGGGTGTGGATAACCGCTCTCTAAAAGAAGTAATCGCTTTACACCGCCTCCGACAGCTGGGTCACATTTTGCGTATACCTGTCCATCGATTACCTTTCCGGGCTCTCTTGGCACGTGCCTGACAACGCTGGAAATAGCATTGCGGCGGTCAGACTCTGACATGGCCTAGAGGTATGAAGAAGCTGACTTCAGCTTTGTCTTCATTTGGTGCAGCTCGCCTTCCAGGTTAGGGCCCAAGGGATGAGGATTGTCGTTAGTTAAAGATAAAGCCTAGAATAGAAGTCAGTGGCGTGAGCACTATACGGTCTGCCTGTTGAAATCCCGTGCTTCATTAAACAAATAAAAAAGCAACACAAAAATATATCAAAAGTTTACGGTGGATCAAACAAACAAATTGTTATTCTTGTTATTCAACTGAACTTTCTAACTCCCTGTTACTCTGCTATGTATCCGTCCCTCCATGTTCTGTTTTTCTTGTTGTTGCTTTGGCACCAGACGGTCAGTCGGATTGCCAAAGATTCTTTAGCTGACCCAATGTACTGTATTGATCGAATTCTCTGTTATCTAGTTATCTATGTTTTGTGGTAACCCGTTTCTGAATCAGGCTGAATGACAGCCTCGGATTAACATTGCAGGTTACAATTAACTACTAAACTCAAGTGCATTGTGCATGTAGAGTCTGTTTTCAAGCATCCGATCACTCGAGAAAGTAACAAAAGAGTACGGTCAACGTGTTCTGAGAGAAACTGGGAGTGTGCGTGCACAACGTCATGTGCGTTAAATTCTCGCATGTCCCACCATCAGAACCTTTCAGGATGGAAACAGCACAATAGTCTAACAGAAAGTAATGAATCCTTTAACAAACGGCTTCTCGCTCTCAAATCATCGGAAATATATAGAGTGAACTGGAAAAGAAAAGAATCGACTAGCGAACGATAGTGAGAATGCCACCAGTCAGGGTATTTTGATGCGATGGGTTTGAAGTTGTTGTGGTTACCAGCAATAAGCGAAACTCCTTTAGGTGTTGAAGTATATAAAGCCCTATCCTTGTGCGACTCTACTCAGATTTTCTTGGGATGTGCTAGTCATCACTCATTTCGATATATATGGATGTTATTCTTAACCATTCTGTCATTTGCTCTGACCGAATCAATAGTGTCTCTGGAGACCTAAAGCTCTTATCTACACCCTCAAGTCTGATAAAACAGTTTGCACGTGCCTGCGTCTTACCTCACTGGTTCTATGCCTCCGAAGTAATTTTTCCTCGCTTTTTACAAAAGGATATGTGTATGATATCCAGGTCACTCAGAAATTCATCCATGTGTTTTGGTTTACTGAGAACACAATCCATTACGTTGTCTCCCAACACACCAAAGCTTGTGATAAGCTGACTTATACAATACTGTTTGACCTCCACCACCTTTCTAATTTTGCATTTTGTATTTCAATGCTGCCTGATGGCTCCAAATGTTGTCACCTTTCAGCATGTACAAAAAGCCTACAACTCCATAGTTTTCTGTATTGCTTGTTTTTTAATGTCATCCGGACTGTATTTTCTGTGATTTGTTCACAGTTTGGAGTTAACTCTGTAGTTTTAATGTATTATATAATTTGTCTCTCCATTCTTTTCGGTTGGGCATTTGGCAACCAAAAAAGCAATCGAGGATGGAATAAAGCATATAAATATAACATCCCGTGTACCACTTAGTACTTTTGCATTGTTAGAATCTCTTCGTACACTGTTATTCTAAGAAACTCAGTCCAGATTAGTTGAGTCTTGTGTACTCTAATCAGCCCCAAGAACCAATTTAATTTAATCGTAAACAGAAACACAGCTCTGATTGCAACGAATACAACTTTAGCATATGGAGTCACCACAACCAGCTTTCCCGGTTTGTAAAATTCGGTAAGCTTAACTCTGATTGGCTTACTTTTGGGTCACACCATGATACTGCGTTTCCTGATAATATAACACCCGGCTGATCTAAGCGTCGATATCATAGCGCTAATTTCTATCCCGCAACTGCACGCCTTACTGACGCATCCGGTGTGTCCAAGGGGAGTAATCCTTTCTGGCTGTACCTGATTCCAAGATGTGATCTGATAGCTCAGTTACTTGGTTTCATTTTCAACTGTTTCACTCCTTCCTTCTGCTGCATCATCCACAAAGTCTGGTTGAGGCATTACCGGACACGGATGTGCTGTACATGACTCGTGTTCAAGCCGAACGCATAAAATCGACCGATTCACGTCAACTGGCCGCGAACCAGTTTGTCATCACTCCGGAATTGATGACATTGGCAAAACCCACGGGAATGATTGTCATGCACCCGTTGCCTCGTGTCGGGGAAATTAGTCCCAGTTTCGATTCGGATCCCCGGGCCGCCTATTTTCGACAGGCTGAATATGGAATGTACGTGCGCATGGCTCTTCTGGCTACCCTATTGGCTGATCCGAAACACTGAAACTGGTCCTTTGACCAAAAATTAACCATCTTTCCTCAATATGATGAGGGGAAGAACGTGTATTTGATTTACCATATCCATTCTCATATTGTTTTTGTGCTGAGACAATTTATAATGATTAAAGTAGTTTTTTACTATCGTGAAAATGATGAATCGCGTTTTTTCTTTTACCTCAACTATTTCAGACACTATGTTTAGTGTAAAAATGTTCTTCCATGATCGGGTATTGTTCCAGCTATTTGCTCGGGGAAGAATAAGATCAACTCTAGTCAGCCTGAAGCTCGCACAAGCCCATCAGTTCCGAACGCGTTTATCTTCCATCTCCAGGGTCCGCACTCGTACGAAGAAGACGTGTGCTTTTGCAACATCCAAGAAGTGCAGTTTAGCGGGCGTGAGCCTGCATTGGATGGTTGTTCTTCGTACATTCCTTTATTTGTAGCAATCTCACTGAAAGCAATGGTAATTGAATGTGAACAACTCGGCTTCTTTATAAAGAGATTAAGTGAGACACGGGAAATTTAACTGATCTAAATATAGTGTGTGTACGGTCCGTAGATATACCAAAAGGCTGGTATTGTCTCAGCACAGAGTAACTGATTGATTAACTATCGAGAGAGTAGATCTGATCGTGGCATTAAGTGACGTATGCAGCATCGTGACGCTCCAGGTGTTCAGTTTCATGCTTAGTTTTGAGTCACTCCAAACAGCGTCTTCAAGAGTCAGTGCCACTTGCCACCATCCCCTAAACAACATAAAAATCCGCGAATAGGGTTAGTTCGCATTTAACTCCCAGTTACTTACGGGTGTGGGATAAATGTTATTGATTTGAAGTTGACTATCATTCAGACTGCTTCGTAAACAAGATCTTCAATTGATAACCATGGGGAGATAAAACTAAATAACGAAAACAGTACCACAACCCACCGATGCAAAACCTTTCGCAGCTGTTAGCATACCGTCTTATGTAGCAGCACAATCTCCCCTCAAATCTAAATTGCCGAATGGTTATCGGTTACCACTGGTTTATGCTTATAGAAACTCATCATTGATGCTGTAACACTTTCGATTTTGACCACACACTGCTTGACCAAGGCAACAAATATTGAGCGATAATCTGAGCAGAACTATCCCAACGATGATCACTGTCGCTACTCAATCAAGGTTCGCTAGGCGTTTGATGCAGATCAGAAGAACCACAATGTTGGGGAACACTTAATGAGAATGTCACATGTTCTATAAAATTCAAGCAAGTCTTTTCCGAGATTAACTTCAAAAGAAGGGACCATATCACAATACTACACGAGACGATTCCTTTGCGTTTCAACATGGTGCATACTGCAGCAAATGCAATGGTTAAATGGGGCATTGCAGCAAAGTAAAGTAAAATAACATCAAACAGGCAAAGCATAAAATGGGGAACTGGTAAAGGGACCATGTAACCAGGTTAAGGACAAGCCAACATAAAGTTTTCGTGGGCACAAGGAGAAAGGGGGGGGGGCATCCATCGATTAATAGCAATCGCCTTAGTAAATCTTAGCAATCTTGCGGCTTGTGACTTATAGACCATCCGAAACGCCGTGCTTCGGGCGAACTGGTGTCGCGTCCTCAGCAGATGTTGAACAATGGCTGAGGACGCGGTCTTATGGTTTCGAACCATCGTTTCTATGCAGTCGACTCGATGTCGGTGGTGTCGTCTGATTCTGGACCCAATTTGGTATATGTTCCAGCACCCGATTAGCGCTCTGTTCTGCCTATGTAGGTGGTTTATGTTTTGTCTGTTTTAATGTATTTACCTTACTTCGTCTCCATGATACAACCCTATATGAACACTGCAGTAGGCACCATTTCGAGATGAAGTGAAACCGTCCCGGACCTAAATCGTGCTTTATTACGACGTTTTTTGTCACGTCTTTCTCAATCTGAAATGTCTGTTCTGTTTAAGTATTATTTTTTGTTACTGTTTGTAAAAAAAAACAAGAAACCCCATCGGCCGGAACGTTTCATGCACCCACCTATCTAATCGGTTATGCCTTCCTTCCGCTCGAAGGGGAATAGGGTGCACTCAGATTACCTGCAGCTCCTTAACACTCGTTCCAAGTTCAAACGATACGGATACCTGATGCTTCCATGTTGCCACATGTGAATAGTGGTCAATTGGCATGCGAATATGATTGAAGGTCAGCCGCTCAGGATAATCAGCTGGATGCCTTACCTGATCTCACAATAGCATCGAGATCCCCTTTGATGGTCAGCATACCACTACCCCTTACTGTGTATTACCAATTTCTAAAACAGAATCATTGACCACCTAGAATCACCTTTCATTTCAGACACAATATCCAATTCCTATTTTATCGAACTTTGTACAAACAACAGGAGGTTGTGGTGATGGAACCATTACTTGCTGCTACCCTCCTTGCGAACCTGGAAAGAACGTAGCTTAAGTCTGCAATCGATTGGTTCGAACATTACTACCGATATGTAGACGACATATGCTGTTGTGACCTGAAATTCTTGTTATTGTGATTCAACAAGATGCACAAAGTAACAGGTTCCTTAATCGAACGCAATTATTGTTTACGGATGTCTCCCAGCAGAATGGAAGGTGTTCGAACAAAAAAGATAAGTGTACCGAAAATCGACATTAACTGGCGAGTACGCCAAGTTCAGTCGGGCCTAAACAGAATCGCGAATTGGTGAAATATGTGGCCACCAGAACGAGGGCTATCTGCTCTGAGGAAGTGTTCGATGATGAGCTGATGCTCACGTGAAAACCGAAATCTGGATCGTTTTTATCTGAAGTAGCCTGAAACTCCCATGGAAACTGTGGGGAAGATTGATTCGTCAATTTGCCATTTAAGGACGATGGAGTGAGTGAGATTCAAAATCCACGTATGAATGGAGAAATTAATAGCGCCTTCAACGCTGCTAAATCACAGTGCGTGTTTCGATATGTTCCTGTGACCCACATTCATAATAAGGATAAACAATCAGCACCTCTTATATTGGTCAAACTACAATCTACTCGGAACAAAAAGCATCACCCGCTGGTTGAGAATAAGATGGACCGGATCAACAAACAACTCAATCCTAACCCACTTAGTCAAAACCGGACATCAAGCCAATCTAGAAGTCACTTTCAAAGTTGTTCATAGTGTTTCCCACACTAAATGCCAGGGTGTTCAACTGAGCAATCTAGAAATAGACGAGGCGAAATTGATAAGAAAGCTAACCTCTGCACCTAAAAGCTCTTGAATTAGTCACTCCGACTTCCATGACCCGTGATCGATTAGGCCGGATTGTTAATCCCGTCCCGTCATCCTAAGGTCGTAAGCTAGTTAAGCCAATCAAAGGATAAAAGCAAGTTCTACGCGACAAAATCACGATTGTTATTTCCTAACCAAATTACAGCATCGTACCCCAGAAACGAACAGTTTCTAAACCCCTAAATCGGTCTCTTACTCAGAGATTGAAACCTCCACCACCTCATCCCCAGGATAAACAGGACGAGCAACGCTAACAATAAACAACGTATGGTGATCCACGATACAGTCGAATCATTTTTCGATCTACCAACCTCAATGCCACTCAGTGTCGTGACTGAGTAAAGGATTGAAAACATTCCAAATCATAAATTACGCAATACCCTCAGTATCAAGAAAACCCTCTGCCAAGTACCAATAGCTGAGACTAAAAACTGCGTACAAGTTCAACACGCATGAATTTCATTCAGTATAACAAACGATATCACCTACTTTCAGCTAACAATCGACCAGATAATAAAAGATGAAGGTACCCCCGACAATTCATTTGTAAAGAGAACGTTACCATCTGCTGGAAGACAGACCTGATCATATTTTGCTAACTTCCCACAGACAGTTAAACCGTTTCTCATTATACTTAACGAAGCCAAAACATTTTATCATCCACTTTTTGGGATTCTTAGTCTGTGAAGCGATAAATAACCCGGACCCTAAAATCATACAATCCGTCTAGGGACTTCCACTCCTCGTTGGAGTGTTTACTTACCATTCAACGTGGTATTCATCCGTTTTTGAGAAAATAATCCCACTGGAGAAAAGTAAGTTGGTCCTTGTGCCAGAAAGCATTCGCTTTTCATTCGAAGCATGGAAAAAGACTTCGAGAACTCTACGGTCTTTAAAACACTCGGTCCCCTTTATCCATCGCATCCAGACCGAAAGAATACATATGTCGTGAGATGTTAACATTTCGTCTAATCTTCTCAATCGCTGACGTAAAACAAACAGGCACATTGGATTTGTAAATCCTAGTGAACGGACATGTGCAGCTAGACGGCTATTAGAATATCTGAAACACAGTATAAATAACCGAAGCCAGTCGGGACAGAAAGACCACAAATGAGAAGCTGGCCTAAAGTTCATAGACCTGAGACTCCTCTTAGACCAACTTTGTGCATTCAAAAATCGCCATATCACAAACGCGCTCGTTAGTTGACGGAAGTTATAAATCCCATTGTTTAAAAGATTCGTTTGAACTTTCAAAATGCTTGGAAAATTGTACAATATCTTTACAGCGGATTTATTAGATAGATGTGGATTCTCTTTTCATCAGTGTTCCTCTCCATGAAGCAGTTTGTTACGAGAAATAGTATTTCTCTGTACTAAAAGCATTCATTCTGAATTCAAAAGGAGCCACATACAAATAGATTGATGGCGTGGCCATGGGCAGTCCATTAGCCCACTTCTACCTGATGTATATTTAGGAATGATTAAACAAAATCTTGCTATTAATATCTCCCAGTCCATCTTGTACAAACGTTATGTAGACCATATTTTCATTCTTGCGAAGCGCGAACATGTTGAATGCGTTGTGAAACAGTTTAACTCTGTTCATCCACCTCTCCCTCGATCCTTTAGCATTTTTGGATATCAGAATTACAAGGTGCTCAGATGGTACATTGCAGCAATGGAATGATCAGTATCTACAGTTCTTTAGATTCGCACTCATTTCTTACAAAC